CCCTGCGAGGCCGACTGAAGGGTTCGAGGAAGAGGAGGCTCCATTCAAACAGCTTTCAGTCCAAAAGGAAACTGCCAGGAAGCAAGATGGCTCAAGGAAAGACCAGCTGTCCACACAGCTCTCTCACTCTCTTCCGAGACCAGAATGTTAAAAAAAACACCCAGAGATCTCACCTACAGAACTGGCGGACCCTGCGCTGCAGTATTCTGGGAAAGTATGCCAAAGGAAGTCTGAGAGAAATTAAACTTACAGCATTTCTACCATGTTGCGTTCTTCACCTTGAACCAATTTAGCGAGATTTAATCATCTGCTTGTCCTTATCGGTACAAACCTCTTCAATGATCCTACAGCTGGTAAACCTAGAAATAGCTTCACCGCAATGCAACAGGAACAATGCCTTGGTTGGATATTTAAAAGGACACATTTTTAAACAAAAGCACAAACCCTAAACGGATGCCCTCTGTGCAAGTGTCCCACAGAGCAGAACTCGTCGTTGCCGAGCCAGAAAGAAAGGTGACTCTGAACTCTGGCATTATGGGTCCAACAGCCTGGCAGACAGTCATACAGACAAGACAGGACCTGGGCTGGCCAAGTGTTTAAGTGGTGGGGGGTCAGTACACCAGACACTGCTTTAACATGGATTAAAACTACAAACTAATGAAACTCTTAAATTAACATTAACAGTCATTACCAGAAAGAATGGCAAACCACGTAAATGTTTGGAGTTCTTAACTTATTTTATCCAAAAAAACACCAGTCTCAAATCAAGTGCATCAGTAGAGAGATTGCTGGTCATTGACCAGGAAATATCTTGGCTACAAGCGAGGATAACTTCAAAACGACGTGCTAGTGAATGACCAAGCCGGATACTGGAGAACACCAGTCCAGCAGATCTGACGGGCTCACATTAAGGCACCAGCTTGTAAAGGCCTGGAACACAGGCACGCTCTGACCACTTAAGAAATAGCTCAAATACATCAGGAACAGCTCTCTGGGGTTCTCAAAAGCAACGAGGCAAGTGCACTTTAATTTCAAACGATAGCTAAACTACCAGACTGAACCTCCCTCAGCGATAAAAACAAAGATAGAACATCTTCGCAAACTACCTGCCTCACACAGGTGTGGTCTGACAGGGAAGCACATCAGCACAAGGGCAGAATGGAAAAACAACAGCAAACGCAAGAGCACTTCTCCCCACTAAGTAACCTTCCAACAAGGTGCTCTTTTATCTTTTTTTGTATTATGAGTCAAGAAATCACTTCACCATTATGCAACTTCATCATCGGTCTCAGGAATTGAACCCCGGGCAACTCAAGCCCTGGAGCGCTGCCCTCGCTTCAGGTTTTCGTGCCAGCTCGGGCCTTAATGACTTGACTGAATTACGTGGATGAGAAGTGAATCCTGCTACACTTCCCAGCTCTTAACCCCCAGGAACTCAGATTTCAGGGACTGGTGCTGCTGATCCCCAATTCAGCCCCTGTGTGAAGGGCCACGGTTCGACAGGCATGCCAGCCCTGTGGAGAGGAATGCTGCCGAAGGTGGAAATAATGAACTGCGACGAGCCCCTGCCGAAGGCATACAAGCAAGATGTCGAGTAGAACGATTTTTGTGCTTCGCATTCCTCTTCGGGACCTATATCTTTCGGAAGATGTGCGAGGGATCAACTGCAGCTGAAGAAGCAGGCAAAACAGATGCGATAGTCTGGAACAAGCTGCCCAGCCATGCTGTTGCAGCCGATACTCTGGCTTCCTCCAGGAAACAGCTTCCTCCAAGATACGACATCCTGGGATCAATTAACGTGCTGCCACACGGGCTCGGCAAGCGGAACGACCTCTCTTCTGCGACGTTCAAGGAGCGCACCGCCGTTACTAGGGAGGCCGGAACACAACACACGCCGCACTGGGCCTCATTAAAGCACACCGCAATTCCCAGATCAGGCACCGCTGCCCTCCTGCGGGAGCACCCGCCGGAGTCCCCTCAGCCCCTTCACCCCGCTCGGAGACGGCGCCCGGCCCTCGACAGGGCGGGGTCACGTGCTCGTCTCAGAGCCGCCGCGGTACCCATGGGCAGATTTTATTTTCACACGGTACCGTCCCAGAAAGTTACAGGACGCTCGCTGGGGTGCTGGCCCTCCCTGCTGCCGCGGGTTTCCCCGCGAGTGGCCAGTCAAAACCCTACGGCTGAAAGCGGACGACAGGTTTGGGGCGACTCAGGGCCCCGAGTCAACAACGACAACAACAACAGGGCCCCACATCCAGCCGGCCGTCATTGAGCAGCCCATCTCGAAGACGCGCTGTTGGAGTGGAGACGTCCAGAGAGCTCCACGCCCCCAGGAGTCCTGCAGACCAGGAGCCCACGGCCCGGACCTGCTGTGGAATGGCATCTGGCCTGCCCATGGAGCCCAGCGCGAGGACTCTAGCTGAACATCTAGGGGACAGCGACAATTTCAGCGCCGAAGCAGTCTCAGATGCGGCTCGGTTATCGAAAATGTTGGCTCAGACCTTGTGATCAGTTTTGATGGGGACATTCAGGACAACACAGCTGGTGAAGACGGGGAGCTCATGCTTTTTCCCCGCCCCCACTACAGTAAGCCGAACAGGATACACTCCGGATCGACTGTGGGGAATTGAGTGGGGCGAGCCCCTGACACAGCCACTTCCGGGACATCATCCCCACTCCTCAGCATACCAACTCCAGTCACTCCCAACTCCCACTGGGGCATCTGTGGGAAATCGGCACAGACAGATAGCACTGGACAGCAAACCGCAGCCGGAGCGGGGCTGGTTTAGATCTGACGGTAGGTCCTTCACCCACAGAATCAAGTACCGCGTGAGGAGTATCTGACCAGCCGAACAATAAGGTCACTGAAAACAATAATGCACAGTGACTTGGCATCCTTCTGTTCCGATACCGAATCCTTTTCTAAGGTGATTTTTTTTTATCAGCCCCACGGCCTCAGAAGTTTTGACTTGCTGCGCAAAGGAAATAAAACCACCACAGACTTTGGATCCCGGAACAACAGGCAAATTAGGGAGGCTCGGATTGTGCAGAGGACTTTTTAAAACCGCGCCGCACACAGTCCAGGCTCGTCGGACGGGTCGGGGCCGGGTTACCTTCGCCGAAAACAAAGGAATCAGAGGTTCTACTAAAATCCCATGTTGCTCCCCTCCATCACAGCAGAAGAAGAAGCTGACAGGGCACAATTTTCATTTCAAGACGCTAATAGCACCAGATACACTTCCAAGAAATGCCATAATGCTTTTAGTTTTGAATTAATTTCAGGACTACTTAGTCTGGGAAAGATTCATCAGCTAATTTAGTTTTAACCCTTTGTGGCCTTTTTGTTTTTGCTCAAAACATGAACTTGTATGAATGCCTGCTTCAGAAGAGTTATTTAGATAGATAACTCAAAGTTGCATTCATTACTGTACAACAATATGTACAGGCAGCAATTTGGAATAGCAGGACTTGGCAGTCTGCTGCAGAAGGCCAGATTCAGGGCTCACAAAGGGCAGGGACTCGATTTGTAGAACGCCGCACAAAAGAGACATCACAAAGTGATCTATCGAATGTGCTCAGCAAGGCACACCAACCAAAGCCAGGCCCAATCGCCCACGAGCCATCACAAGAGAACCATTTGTTAATAATTATGGACTCCACCCGCGAAGAACGTGTCAAGAAAAAGACCGCAGTTCTCACCAGTGCATTGACATCTTCCTTCTTGTGCAACAACAATTGAACTTCTTCTGCATTCCGGTTAAATATAGCCTGGACCAGGGGGGGCTGCAAGACAAAACAAGACTCTTTCAGAGTTTAGAAATAACACACAAGCACTTAAACACCCTCTCATCCTCTCGGCAGACAGCATGGCTGGTCACTGTCCTAGGGAGAGCACAGCAGCTGGGGTACGAACAATAGCCACTGTTTCGGGCGAGGAACACCTGGACTCCTCACGTTCATACAATTCTATACATCCATCCGATGCCGTTTGATAAAGGCATTTCCTCGCACGCGCCGTTCTGCAATTTGGGTTTGTAGTTCAAGAACAGGAGAAAGGTTACACCGCCTGCTCGGCAGGAAGACATTGTAATGGATGCCACGATCTGACCCATCCATTTCTTGAAAGAAGCCAGTTTACCAGCTGCCACAACATGACTGGGTGGCTTGCTCCAGACTCCCGCCACCCTCTGCGTAAAGAGGGGTAGAGGGAAGCTGGCGTAACTTAAAAAAAACAAACACGGATCACGACTTGAGCACTATTCAGGACTGCGCGCACTGCAACTCGACTGGCTTCATCTTCTTTTCCCTCAAAGGGTTTTCCTGGAAAGGCAGATCTCATCTGCTTATTGGGGGGGGGGGGGAGTCAGGATGCTAACAATGGAAAGAGAAGGAGGCGTCTCCTACACCTTCGCCATAATACACAGAGCGAAAACATGGAAATACAGGGCTGTTGTCCTGTAAAGCGAAGCCCAGCAGAGAATGGAGGTTCCCCATCCGCCTTTGGCAGGGTGCAAATAAATAAATCGCAGGATTGTTAGGTCACAGGTTCACCGCACGATCTAGCAGAGATCACAGGATCCGAGCTAGAAGGACACAGAGTACCTCCCTCAGGTGCTCACACACGGCTCACAGGCCTTCAGAGGAAGATCTGCTCCTTCATTCACTTTAAGGAAAAAGCCAACTGTCTTCATTACCCCCCCCATACTGGTTAAGAGGGCCAAATTGATCTTTGAAGGGTGAACAGAACGCAGGGTTTCGAAAGACGGAGCAGGGACCCAGAGCACAGCGAGACCTGCCCACATCTTCAACACTCGCATCCCTCAGGCCCTGCCTGGCTTCAGGAGCTCCGCAGTGAAGACCTTACCGTCACCCCTTGAAAGCCCTACAGCCCTAACTGTCAAACGGCTTCTAGGCCAGGCAAAGCACTCCAGGGATGTCCACTGTGTGGACACAATCCCTAACACTGCCGTATTTTTGCACCACACAGATCATATCACAAGAGGTTCTAGCAATACTCTTCGGGCAGAGGTGTCGGGTCTGGCTCGAGATTTAATGTTCTGAACCACGGGCTCTAACAGAGTGCACACGGGGGGCTGGAAGCATAACAGGCAAAGTTAAGACGACATATTTACACATTCGCCTTCTCTGCTTCCCAGTGCCTCGTCATTGCTCAAGGCAAAACCTGGAACGGCCTTAACAGCGACGTCATGGGAGCAGCAAAAACAACGACGCATATATACACACACGTCACACTCAGACCAGGGTCAAAATCCACACCATGGACAGTATAAAATGTGTGGCTCATTAGTTTCATGCCCACTGCACCACAAAACGTTTTAAAAGATCGGTAATATTGTATTTATAAAACGTCCGATTCATCTGCCAGGGCGCCTTGTTTCGGCTCACGGATGGGGCTTTGGGCGCTGACCGGAGACGCGCAGTGTTGAGCTCAACACCCCGGCCAGCCGCAGGCACCTTCAGGTGCTCGGACATCTTCAAACACACACTCCCGCGTTTCTTGGCAACCTCCCCGTCTCCCTTCCCAACGACGGCGGGGGGGGGGGGACAATTCACCCATTAATATTCTTTCGCTTTTATTTTAAGATAGGCAGGTGAGCCGCGACCCTACAGATTAATGGGTGGGCCGCCAGCCCTCAGTTTACCGCTTAGACCAATTGCAACGGAATCGCTTTTGCCAAATGTCTTTCCTCTAAATGTGCAAGCGTCTGGAAAAAGGTTGTGTCAAAATTACAAAAAAAAGACCTGCGTTCAGCTAGCCTCGGCAGCATCACTAGCCAAAAACGTTCCGCCTCACCATGAAAACACACACACATAAAAACGACGTTGTCTGGTACAGCGCTTTAGATTTCCGGACAATCGTAGAAAAAGATGCATTTTCATAGTTGCAGAATTTTTTTTTTTAAGCATGGAAAAGAGCTAAATATTTCCGGGAACCGAAAGCGGCGGAAAAACCCCCTTCTGTGTCTGACATTACAACCCGGAGACGGGAGTGCGCGTCCCTCATCCCTCGGCCGCAGCTGCAATTGGAAAAAAAAAACTACACGATTGAGACAGCGCACAAAAGTCACACAAAGAAACGGTCGTTAAGAGAAAATCCAGATCTAACACCAGCCGCGACTGCGACCCAGTCCTGCCCTGCCCGGGGGGAGTTTTAAATACGAGGAGATTTGAGGGGGGAGAAAATGTGACGCGAAAAAGGACGTCGAGGGGCCTACAGCCGCCGGCCTTTCCTAGTCAGCCCGGGCCGAGGTCTCAGCCGCCCGCCCTCCGGAAAAGAAGCGGAAAAAAAAAAACCCCGATCGTTATTTCCACCGCGTTTCTCCCCTCCGCTCGTCGCGGGTCCCTCACCTGGTCAGTTATGTTGAGTATTCCCATCTCCCGGACTCAATCAGGGCGAAGCTCCTTCATCAGGATGGGCTGGAGAGGTAACTGGCGGTAGTTTTATTATGATTATTACTGAGGAACAGGGTCGCTCGGTATCAGTGCGCTCGCTGTTGTTTATTGCTGGTAGACTGGAAGGGAGGGGGAGGAGGAGGAGGAGGAGGGAGGCTGGGGGGGGGGACACCGCCTACAGGAGCGGCGGCGAGCGACAGCGCCACCCCCTGGCGGGACCGAGCAGCGGCCGCTAAGGCAACCGCCGGCTCCGAGGTGCTCGGAAACGAGACCCAGGCTGCGCTGCGTGGGAGTAATTAATTACGCCGCCTGTAATGAAGGAGGGAGCGCCAGGGGGACTTCACTCTGCTGCTGCGGCTAATTATAGCCCTTACTCGCAATACACAAACAGGCCAGGTCACACGATCCCAGATTTTCCTTAGGCGGCCTTCTGAAAGGGGAGCCGGGAGACCCGTCTGGAAGAAACAATGAGGACCGATAGTTTGAACGGGGGGACAATTTAGAGGCTGATTCCCACGCCGGAACGCAGACAGAAGATAACTACGTCGCGAACAGGGAGGGGGGTTCGGGTTTCTACGTTTCAGCGGAATTAATCTCCGCTTCGCGTTCAGCGGCGCAGGAAGAAAAGCCTGTTGACGGATCCCGACTGCACCCCTGTCCCACGGACAGTGCGTCACGTGTGCACAGTTCCGAATAAAATCGAAACTGAGCGGTCTTGTGCCCAGGAAAGCGCTTTCGTTTATGCCGGGATCCCGGATTCACAATGCGAAAGTACCGAGGACAAGCAGGGCGTGACTCTCTCTCATCATCTCCCCAGTCGCCACATCCCAGCCCCGTTTAATCTCTCGGTGACGCAGCAGGAGCCAAGAACCTTGTCCAAACCTACAAGACAGGTTGCAGGGTTTGGTTTTGAAGGCGTCCTTGCACCCCGGATTAGTGTGACAGAACTAAGCGCCGAGCTGCGCTGCGTGTGCAGGCTGGTCTCGGTCTGTGAGGAAGACTGAGCCAATAAAGCCCATATCGAGGCAGCTGGTGCAAGCGGCCACATTCATCAGCTCTTATGTGTGAATAAACCTTGGGCAGCAGACCTAAGAGACAATAATGAGCTCTGATTTATCGATATTCAGCTTTTTTTTTTACTGCAAACGACGAATATGCACGTTTCTTTATATATACCATTATCCATATTAATAATGTTTTATATAACTTTACAAAAAACAACTTAGAATATCCTGCAGTTGAAATATTTTAAATAATCCCATGAAATGTTTCATGATACTGTTCTGTACTTGGTGTATTTAAACTTAAAAAAAATATTTTTTTCCCCCAAGATAAGCAATTCGATCGCGGCTCGGGAAGGTTCAGAAAACTACCCATCCCAGAAGGCTTTATTCTCGCCCTCCCAACCGGACGTTGTCACGCTCTCGGTTTTACGCAACACCCATTCCAGGGGGTTGGCCTAGCAACTGTATGACGTAACCTCCAGTGACAGTGAGAGGCGACTGAGCCGGTATCTGGCGGAAGGTCGGGATTTGGCGAAGAGGACGACGGACGTACAAAACAGAGAAAAAAAGGAAGAAGCAGTCACAAAAATGACAACAAATCGCTGACAGCAACTTGATTTTTGGGTACTACATGAAGGTCACCTATTTTGGAAAGCAACAGCCGCTATTTTTAAATGTTGGGTTAATCGATCGTGTCCTGGCTTCGTGATATCGTATAGTTTGTAGTATTAGCTGCTCCGGAAAAATAGTAAAACCGAGGGACCGTCCCGGGAGAGAAGAAAGGAGCCTCCTGGACTGCGGAGGGCTGCTTCCTGCCGTCGACGGGGCTCTTTCGGGGAAGGGGGGCATCTGAGGAGAAAGGAAACATCCACCCCCGTTTCAGGGACCTGGCCATGGCCGTCGCGCGGCGGCTGCCCATGGGCGTGCGGACGTTCAGCGAGCTCCTCGAGATCGCCACCCTGGGCACGAGCCGGTCCGCCAGCCGAGTGGGGTCCCGTGCCCGAGGAAAACAGCCAATCAGGTGAGAGAGAGCCCCGCTGCCACGAGCAAAACAAACGGCGTCAATGAGAGAGGGGCGCGTGGGTCCGCGTCCGAGACAAAGCGCAGATACCGCGCGGGTGCTTGTAGACCTGGAGCAGGTCCGTATGGTCTGACCCCGACCCGGCCGGCGTCCAGGTCTCTGGCGTGAGTATGTCGGGGGGGTTTTCTCGGGAGCAGAACTTGGTCCCCCTTCTAACTTTGAGTCAGATTCCGAAGGGGTTACTGGGAGGAACCGGTCTAAATATCCACAGGCCACCCTGTCAGTTCAGCCCGGCGCAGTGCGGCTGGAAATGTTACACCAGGGCCTCTCGTCTCATCCCTTCTGGCGTTTGCAGGCAGCGCATACGCCCGAGAAACGCTCGAGAAGAACATTTTGGGGAGAAAAAGAAAACACGCTGTTATGTCGGCTCCACTACACCGCGTTTGATCTCTTTTGCCAAAACGTGGTGCACAGCCCGCAGTGTTGTTTCCAAGGGTTTAGTCTTCCGTGCTGAGCGGGGGAAACCGGTCGTAGCGCCTTGGCGTGTTTTCGGCACTGAAACCGTGACACAGCGCGGAGGAATGCTGCCGTCCCGCGGCGCGTGGCCGTGTGGACGTCTTGTTTCACTCAGAGTTTTGACGGGGACCCGAGTGAAGGTCGGTCCAGTACTTCAGATCGGGACTAGCAGAATGAGGCTCCAGTCTCCTCGTTGTGAAAGGCACATCAGTGTAAAGGGAGAACACAACCCATGTAAACAAGTCGTTCAATAACGGGGGGGGGAGTTCTTTACACGAAGGGTTGTGGGTGGATGGACCAAACAACCTATTGATGCTGCAAATGCTGAATCCTTCCCATTAAGCTTCCTCCAGCCACCTAAAGAAAACAGGCCCAAGTCAAGGATGTCAAATCGCTAGTCTGAGGAGAGGGGAAAACTCTTGTAGGGTTTGCATCTGAACAGTGGCTCCTGTGTCGGGTGGCTGGCAGGGCTTCAGGCCAGACCGGCAGAGGGTGACCTTCCAGACTGGTGCAGCGAGTTAGTGTTGGTGCAGACAGACAGAGGCTTCAGGAGACCTTGACGTTAGACCTTGTCTGACAGTGTGTCACATGCCTCCCATTCCCAGCAGCTGTAGGGGGAGCAGTGCGCGGGGGCGGGGGGGTCTCCTGTAAGACCTGTACCCCCCTGTGAACTCTGACCCCGGAAGGGGTCACCAGCCACCCAAGCCTGTAGATCCCTCCCCCTGGCCAATGCATGGCCTTCATGGAATTAGGGTGGGAGATGTTGTGTGTGCTCAGATATAGTCCTTTTCACTTCACAGTGTGGCTTTTCACCTGAGCTATGCCGGTGCAGCCTTGGGGCTTAAGATTACTGTGGCACCGCTCAGGGCAAGACTGAGATCTCAGATCTAGAATTCCGTACACTACAGGCCCGAGTCCTCGGATTGTGCCTCCCTTGTTGTCTGTGTAGTCAGAAAGCAGGAGTCTTTACAGTGTTTTTCAGTGGGTGTGTTCTTTTTGGAAGCGGCTTCATCTGTTTCTTATTCACGTGAATGTGGGGGGAAAAAAGCCTTTCTCCCTAACTGAAAACAGCAGAACTTTCTTTTTTTTCCGATTCTGCACAGAAAACAAAGTAAAAAAAAAAAACCAAAACAATTCCCCGCTGTTGACTCATACAGTAAAATAACATCGGCCCACACTCACAGGAGATCTAAATCCCTCACAGGTTTTTTTTTTATTTGCAGCTGCTTCTGGCACTGTTGTGCGATTGTCCACATGGGCATTTTCCTGTTATCAGCGGGGTTTTGTCGTGCGCCGTCTACCCGGTGAAACTCAAGTCGGCAATATGGAGGTCGAATGTTCCGGCTTTCTTGTCCTTGTGCTGAGCACCAGACCCCAGTGTGTACGCCGCCTGAAGAGACTCTCCGCCTGGCAGTGCCGCTCGGCGAGATCGCTGCGCTGTTGTGTGTTTTTGGGGGGGGGGTGCGGACTTGGCACCCTCGGGGGTGCTCTGTGAATAAGGTGCCTGCAGCAGGGTGGCAGGGTGGCAGGAAGGGGGCGCCGCAGGAGCTGGGTGACGCACGCCGTCACCCGGGGCTGCTGGGGGGCCGCCGGCGTGTCATCGTGTCTGGTTTGTTTTTCCAGTGTTTGCTCACCGCAGGCGGAGCTCTCCCTTAAGCCAGGGAGCGGGAGGCTTGCAGTGCAGCTCAGCTTTTAGACAAACAGACGGCGCAGCTCCGCCGGCGCGG